AAAGTGGACTTGTGTTCATCATCCAAGTTACCAGCCTTCATGTGTTTATCCAAAAAACATAGAATTTATGGGCATACCATCCCCCCATATAATCAGCAATTTTGCAAAAGACAAGAGTCCTTCACTGTGCATATATTTGTGTGCATAACATTTGTTCAGATTTTCAGCTCAATATGTGGAAATGGCAGCTGGAATCAGAGACAGCCACAATTTATGCCCCCCTCAACACATTTAATATAAGTTGACTGCTGTTTGAACAAGGCTACTAGCTTCTCCATTACCCCATATTTTTCAGAAAGAACTCTGGTCCTGTAGAGTCATGTGCCTCTGCCTCACAAGGATGTCTTGTGGGAATAACAATCAATAAAAATGCCTATTTTAAGATCTAAATATGATTTGGAATGTATAAAGGTAAAGGGACCCCTGACCATTAGGTCCAGTCGTGACTGACTCTGGGGTTGCGGCGCTCATCTCGCTTTATTGGCCGAGGGAACCTGTGTACAGCTTCCAGGTCATGTGGCCAACATGACTAAGCCGCTTCTGGTGAACCAGAGCAACGCACGGAAACGCCGTTTACCTTCCTGCCAGAGTGGTACCTATTTATCTACTTGCACTTTGATGTGCTTTCGAACTGCTAGGTTGGCAGGTGCAGGGACCAAGCAAAGGGAGCTCACCGTGTCGCAGGGATTTGAACTGCCGACCTTCTGATCAGCAAGTCCTAGGCTCTGTGGTTTAACCCACAGCGCCACCCACATCACTTGGAATGCATACCTAGAGGTAAAATAATACAAATAAATAAAATTTCTTCATTCTAACCTCCTTTTTTAAAAAAAAATTAAAAGCCAACTAATTAATGAAGAAACAAAATGGTACAGACTCAAGAAAGAGCACTTGCAAATGGGGCCTAGGCTGGAAATAGACTAATCTAGCCCTCCTTACATTCTTTATTTTTCTGTTGCACACACACACACACACACACACAACTCTTAAGGGGGGGAAATATCATTGAAAGATCAGGACATGACTAATGGATGCCTGGAAAAGAATAAGTGCAGTGTTTAGCCTGTGAGATTATTTATTGACTAGACGTTTCTACCATAGTCTATTTTTGATTGACCTTTTGTGAAATAAAACGATTGCTTTAAGTCTGTCACTATGTTTATGAGGTTTTCGTCCCAATGATTAATGGCTAAGGAGGGCAAAAGAGCTGTTAAAGGTTTATACCATAAAAATCTACTTAACTGTTCATTATATAAACTTATGTTGATATATAAAATCTGCAAACTGTACTTTTTCCTTGGGCCCAATTCAAGAGACTTTTCTGGCAAAGGTGAAATTGGCCAAATGACACAAGAAAGCTTTTCATACAGTTGGTTTCCCATGTTGTATGCATGTCTTGCTAGATTTATATCCTGCCTTTCAACCAAGGAGCTCAAGGAGGTGTGAATGGTTCTCCTCCTATCCATTTTTATCCTCACAACCACCCCGTGAGGTAGGTTAGGCTGAAAGGCAGTGACTGCCCCAAAGTCAACAAGTGAGTTTTATGGAATTGCGACTGAGTGCGGATTTGAACCCTGGTCTCTGAAGTGCTAGTCCAGTACTCTAAGCACTGCATCATGCCAGGTATTCAATATTTAAACTGGACGAAATGTCTCCGGCTGTTGAGCTGCATACAGGAATATTTTGGAGCCTGCTACTTCACGTTCCTGGAACCAGCTTGCACAGCATCCCTGCACACAATGGCACCATTACTCCCTAGGCATGTGTCTTTTCTTTGACAAGGCAAATATGGATGGGTGGAGGTCAGGTGTCAGGGTTCGAGGAATAGGCTTCCTCCCCTTTGGCCATAAATGAGCAGATCAAATGAAAGGAATTCTGACCAGTTAGTTTCTTTAATAAACACAGTGAAGGACAAAAGAAAGTGTCAACCCAGAATGGCGGTGCTCCCAATTAAGGTTCACACCCCTCCGTCCCTATTAATCTACAACTTGTAATCTGAGTTTGTACCCTCTGCGCTTTCTGTTCTGAGACTTTCTGAGCTCTTCTTGATCTTGGGCTGGGTGGAGGAATGCTGTTCAGAGACTGTGAATCTGTTAACCCTCTCTCTTCCAGTGTTTCTTCTCTTAGCTGTTCCCCATCCAGTATTTCCCAGCTTCGGCCTTCTGAACTATGCCCCACTGCAAAACACTGTTCCAAATCTATACTGTCCTCCTGCTCCTGGGAACATTCAAGCTGGTGGCTCCCACCATTCCTCCTCAGTGCAGCCCTCCTCAGTACGGTCCCTGACATCAGGTGAATGTTGCTGCCCCACTGCTGCATCATTAAGAAATGAGCTGGTGCCACAGAAGTTGTATAGGAAGTTCTGAGACAAACCAAGGGAAAGAACTGCAGGTTCACTGTGCTTATAAGCCTCTTCAAATATATTTGAGGCTGAAGGAGCTCTTGATAAGATAAATGCTGAGTTTTACAAAGTCTTTCTTCACCTGGAATGTAACATTTAGCTCTTGTGGACTTCCCATTGTGACCTGGTTAGCCACAATGGGACCAGAATGCTGGAGCAGATGGGCTTCTTTCCTGGTAAGAAGAGCAGATCTCTTCTTACATTCTGTGAAACAATGATAACCCAACCAAATTCAATGATCTGAAAACTGTGAGCACTAGACAGGTGTCTTGAAGATGCTGGAGAGAGAAAGGAAGGACATTTGGAAGACAGGAAACCACCTTGAACTGAGCCAGACCATAGCTTCATCTAGCTCAGCATTGTCTACACTGACTGACAGCAGCTTTCTAGGATTTCAGATGGGTCCTGTCCCAGCTGTAACTGGAGATGTCATCTGGAATTAAACCCGGAACCTTCTGCATGCGATGCAGATGCTCCCACCTATAGCCCTTCCCTAAATGGTTTTAGACTTCGTTAGAATATACAGTGTGTAAAATAGACCTGCTAGGTAGTTCACCAGCATGTAGAGCAGGTGGGGTGAGGGTGTTATATTAAAATGAGGACAGAGTACATTGGACAGGAATTGATATGATTATGCTTCAACTGATGACTCATAAATAATGACACCATCTAATGCTCATGAAGCAAAAACTGATGACAGAAGTGGGAAGGTGGCAATCAATACCACTGGGAAAATAGCCGAGGAAAGCAAGTGTGCTCTTGTAAGCACAGGAGATGTGAAAGGGGTGGCAAACTAGAGAAGGCAGCTTATTTTAATGTATTTGTGGAAGAAAATGTATTTGATAGCTGACTGGGGCAGAAATGAAAGGAACATGAAAGCGTTCAGAAACTTCGACAATTAAGCAAACCAGTAAATTACACAGATCGATGCTGAGAAGAATCACCTGATTATATTAACAAATTAGATTACATAGTCAAGTGGGTTTTTTTAAATGTTGATAACTAAACAACATGCAAAAGGGACAACAGTCATACACCGAGGAATGTTTTATGCAGAATATTTCATCTCATATGGTGGTGGGTGTTTTTATGGAGCAGTGACGAGTCCCCCACATGTGTGTCCCTCCCCAACATTTTAGTTAGTTTTTGAAACCTAGGACTAACTCTTAACAAAATTAAACGCATTCTCTCCCACCCCCACCCCTAAAAACACTGAATTGGCTCCAGACTGCAGATGGAAAGGCTTGAGCTGTCCATGGAAGGCATTTGATCCAGTGGAGAGATCCTGCAAGTTGGGGAGATCCTGCAAGGAGTGCTGCTGCTGTTGCTGCCCAGGAAGACTGCCTGCTGAGGGCCTGGAGGACCCTGCCCTTGCCTCTTTCCACCTGGCTTGGGGAGGGGCTTCACAGGCTTCACAAGGACTGCAGCTGCTTTTAAACTGTTTAAATTTTTATCTGTGTTGTTTTAAATGAGACCATCTTGGCTATGAGCCCTGAAAGACCTGCACCCTGCCTTGCTGGCCATTTCCCATCTGGCCTGGGAGAGGGGAGTGCTGGCTGACTGACTCCAGCTACAAAAGTTGAAGCTGTTGAACAGATTCTTGGGCTGGAGTATTGTTTATGGGGAGCTGAGACAGCTTGTTGCTGTTATTGATATTATTATTGTATCTTTAGTTTTAGATCTTATGATTTACGTGGAAATTGTTTCCATTTGGTTGTGTACTTTTTGATGTGTTTTCTTTATTTTTTATGACTTCTGTTGTGTTTGTAACTATGTAAATCTTGTCATGTTGTAAGCCGCCTTGAGCATGGTTACAACTATGGAAAGGCGGCAGACAAATAAAATGATGATGATGATGAGATCTCTCGCCCTTTCCCCAGCCCCCAGTGCTACCTTCCACACTGTTCTGGGGGTTCTGCATAAATTTTCAAAGAAGACAATGCACTTATTCAATCATAAGGCAGAGGATGATGGAGCAAGTGAGTAGTTATCAAGTGATGTTCACATGCATCTCTGAATCATTTTTAATACCACTTTTTTGACTGCTGTCAAATATTCTGGAACTCTGGGGAGAACCTGGCAGGAAACATTTCTCTTGTTTCTTTCCCCTAAACAATTCTTCAATTAGAAGAAGGTTATTGTCCTTAATACGTTTCTGACTTCACCCTGCATTATTATTTTATCCTCCATGCTACAATGTTATGTTCCCTGAACCTGACTCCCAGTGAGAAATATGTGACTGATTAACAATATCATCCTTGTTTCTTATCTTTCCGAAATTGGACATATTAGATTTTGAGCATGCAGGGGAATTGAGTTACAGATGTCCTGTGTAATGCTGGGAAGATTAATGTACAGTGCTGCATCTCTGACTATGGGAGTTCCCAGTGGGCAGCAGGGTTGGGAAGTTCGGATATTTTGTTATCTGCAGTCATGACATTATGTTCCATTTCCATGCGCTGTGCTGTGATGCAGAGTCAGTTACTCAAAGAGAACTTTTCTTGCAGGGGAGATGAAGTACCTGAAAGTAAAACTAATTTGCTGGCAACGAAGCAACTCAGAAAGACTTTCTTAGGGAAGTTGTGTTTCTCAAAATTACATTGTAACCCAGCGAGATGACAGAAACCAGAACACAGCAGGCAGATGTTAGTCTGTGCATGCCTCTGAGGCCTGCGCGTGCTTCTGAGAAAGCAGCCTGCTTTTGGTAATTGTTACACCTGCTGTTAATTTGCCATCGCTGCTCCCTTTTCAAATGCCGTGGTAAATACAATTTGGCCCTGTGCTGTGCATTTGTACAGCTTCACTTCATAAAACCCTTTTTTTAAGGTGTGAGGGAGAGGTTTTGTTGGCTGGCTTAAGAAACTGGCAAAAGTTTGCATTTTGCAATCATTCTTCGACGTGGAATGATACTTTCAACTTTTTATTTTTTTTAATTCCTAGGGTTTTTCAAATGATGTTTACCTTTGTTCAAATAGCATTAATAAGTAGATAAATTTTGATACATGTCTGTAATTTATCTCTTGGATGGGATAGACAATGACACCTTTCTGTTTACTTTGACTGTTTTAAGGAGAAAATACTTAAGAGAAAATGCTGTGGCTTGTCAGGGAGATTCAGAAGGTTAATTCTCTTTTATGCTTTTATTTGCATTATTTTATTCAGATTTGCATAAATACATTTTATCCCATCTCCCATTTACATTTTTCATTTAAGTGTTTTCTAAAAGAGGAACAATCTGAAAGCAGCCTGTTGTGATCTGCCAGGTACATTGGTCATTTTAAGTTTGTTCATGTTGTAGCTTTTTTGGGGTCTGAGGTAACTTTTACGGATATCACTTTGTGTTACTTTCATAATATAAACATTGGTTTTGTGACGAACTAATGAATAGATACAAATAAATGAATCTACTGCTATAATGTGATCTCAATACAATGCCAGCCAGGTGATTCCTGCAAAAGGACACTTTGGCCCTATATTTTCCCCATATTCTTCAAATGGGCAATGTTGCTTTATTTGCATGCCATTTCAGGACTCTAAAGCCTATTTAAGTTGTGGAAGCCAGTCTGTCATTAACTTGAGCTGCATAAACAGAATATACAGCCCAGGGGTAGAACTATTGCTTTGAATGAAGAAGGTCACAAGCTTGGTCCATGACATCTCTAGGTAGGACTGGGAAAGGCTCCTGACTGAAACTCTGGATTTCTACTGCCAGTCAGTGCAGTAATACTGAGCTAGATGAACCAATTGTCTGACTTGGTTTAAGACAGCTTCCTATGTTCCTAATGCATGCTGGAAACATTATACAGCATACATTTGTATGAAATCCCGAAGCTTCTGCCTAACACATCTTCACATATGCATTTGAATCACGTGTGATTTTGTTAAATTTATTAATGTGCAGCATAATTTGTTACATCTTTTGTTGTAAGTGAGTTCTCTTAAATCCAGTAGGGGTTTCTCTGAAGGGAGCATATGGTGAGCAAAGGACTTTCACTTTCAAAAACAAGATGGGAGGGGCCAAGTCAAGGAGGAGGAGGAGGTGTATTGTCTCTGCATGCATGACTTTGGAACCAAAATACAGCTATCCTTCAAAATTCACTCTTCTCTGAATTTTGTAATGCAAAACAATGTGTGCAAGGATGCATATATTAGGGGAAAGTGTATGTAAAAATACATATATTGATGAAAAATAAAAAGTTATATTGTGGAAACGTACTTGCAAAACAGTGTATATTAGTCAAAGCTTCATACAAAAAGGTACATTACGTGTTAAATTGCCGTTGAATTTTCATGAGTTTTTTTGTTTTGTTTCTTAGGTTGCAGATTGCTGTGGAAATGTGGAGAACTGAATTTAAAACTGGAATAATGAGAAATGGAGAGGAGAAATTGACAGATTTTGCCAGCCCTGCTTCCAAATAAACTGACTTTGGAGTTTAGTGTTAGTTACTTTTTCAAATAGAAGAGAAGAAGAGACACAGGCACCCCGCCGCAATGTCAGAAAGCAACAAAATTGTTTTCTAGCACAACCTAAGCATTTTGTTTTCCACCCGGGTTCCAATGAGAAAAGAACTGGTTTTGAAATCTGTATCAGTTTGCTATTCCTGCACCTCTGAGCAGATAAAGTAGCCTTTCATGCTACTATATTTCTTCTTATCCGGCATTGATGTTGTGAGGTCTGAGAATACTGATTTATCTGTTGCAAAGTTTCCATTCAAAGCTGAAATTATACTCAAAGCAGATTAAAGATGAGATGGAAAGTTTTGGAAATGTGCACAGGGGAATTGTAGCATATGGAAATTTGTTAGCTCATTTCTAACTTGCATGTTTACAAGTTCTTCCTCATTTTAAGATACTACATTAACGAAGAAAATGCATGCACAACTGTTCTCATATGTGAATATGAAGTTTCCTTTCAAGGGAGTTATGGATTTATGGAAGCACTGATGAATGCGTACTGAATGACATATATGGGGTCAGGTTTTCAAACATGGGGGTTCCTTAGGGATGCCTCAAAGGTTCAGGTTCATGATACATATTTTCAGTTTCAAAACTACTAATGCAGCAGCATTCGCAACCAAACATTTAAAAGCTAATTTATTTCTTCTGATCCTGTTCAGCATAATAATAAGTGAATTGTTCTCATCTCTGGGTGCAAGCTCTTGCCTTGTTCCAAGACCAATGACACACAGTCTACATGCTGACCTAGGTATAAACTGGGTGTAGGGCCAAACAATAGCAGAAGCTGTATATAATTTGTAGGAAGAAGTTAGAGGGCAGACAGACGATTGTAATCATTGGAAAGAAATTAGATGGCTGGTAATGGGTTGAAAAGGGACGCGGGTGGCGCTGTGGGTTAAACCACAGAGCCTAGGACTTGCTGATCAGAAGGTCGGCGGTTCAAATCCCCGCGACGGGGTGAGCTCCCGTTGCTCGGTCCCTGCTCCTGCCAACCTAGCAGTTCGAAAGCACGTCAAAGTGCAAGTAGATAAATAGGTACCGCTCCAGCAGGAAGGTAAACGGCGTTTCCGTGCGCTGCTCTGGTTCGCCAGAAGTGGCTTAGTCATGCTGGCCACATGACCCGGAAGCTGTACGCCGGCTCCCTTGGCCAATAAAGCGAGATGAGCACCGCAACCCCAGAGTCGGCCACGACTGGACCTAATGGTCAGGGGTCCCTTTACCTTTACCTTAATGGGTTGAAAAGTCAGAAATTGGTAACAGGTATGAAATCAAGGAAAATGAACAGGGAGAAGGAGGGGCTAGAAAAATGATCGTACGGAAGCACAGGACAGGAAGAGCAGTGTGTTGTTGACAGGAAGGGACAGGCAAAGAAAATGTGGAGGCTATTTTTGAAAGTCAGAAGAAGCAAAGGTTTTCCAGCTGCAGATGTCCTTGTACCTGTTAAAAAATACATATACATTTCCATGTGGTTAGTATGCTCACTGCAGCACCACAGCTAAAGCATCTTACAGATGCTCAATAGGATAAAATGAAAAGCTTAATAATAATAATAATAATAATAATAATAATAATAATTTATTATTTATACCCTGCCCATCTGGGCTGCTTCCAACAAAATATTAAATACAATAGTCCATCAAACATTAAAAGCTTCCCTAAACAGGGCTGTCTTCAGATGTATTCTAAAAGTCTGGTAGTTGTTTTTCTCTTTGACATCTGGTGGGAGGGCGTTCCACAGGGTGGGTGCCACGACCAAGAAGGCCCTCTGCCTGGTCTGCTGTAACTTGGCTTCTCACAGTGAGGGAACTGCCAGAAGGCCCTCAGCACTGGACCTCAGTGTCTGGGCAGAACAATGGGGGTGGAGATGCTCCTTCAGGTATACTGGGCCGAGGCCATTTAGGGCTTTAAAAGTCAGCACCAACGCTTTGAATTGTGCTCAGAAACGTACTGGGAGCCAATGTACATAATGTACAGCCACATATATGTCGTAAGTCAACATTGCTTTTGTCAGGTGTGTTTCAGTACAGTTCCGTTATTTTTTGCTGCCATTTCATACTGCATTGACATCATAGCTGTAAAGTGCTGACTCACTAGGCTGGATATGGAAGCACATGTCTGTTTTCAGATAGGGAAAAATGTTTACTAATATTGTTTCCCAATGGAGTGAACAGAAACCCTCCTTCTTAATTGAAGCAGCCAGGCATCTCCAGTGAATAGGGAATGACATTCCAAAAGCAACAAATTTGTTTTTGTAGACTTGCAGTAATGCAACAGGAAAAGTTTCAGTTGGTTAAGATTTAAATAATCCATCAGAATATGGCTGGGGTACTGAGCATGATTTCATTACAGAATGTCACTTGGTTTTAATAGAGGACATGACACCCACCCCTTCTCCAAAGTTGCAGCCTCTGTGCATGGAAAAATACAATTCGTGGTCAGCCTATGGAAATAGTGCAGGGAGTACAAGAGGATTTTTTATACAAAATGGCCTGATTTGAAATTTCACAGGAAATAATTTTCTAACATTAAAAAAAAGTATTGGAGGAGAATTGTAGTCATTCCAGGACTTTATCGCCTACATATCTCACAATGGAAGCAGAACGTTGGAACAATTGCTTCATCTGACAAACTAACTAAGACAGTATACACTCTGAACGATTTTGTTGAAATATGGTAGTCCTTAATAAAATATTCAGATGAACACCTTGATGGCTGCCATTCCCCAACTACACATATAGACTTATGGGGAAATTTGATGTGTTAGTCTATTCTGCAGGAAGAGAATTGGGAAACCCATTGTTTTGATAATGTTTATGTTCCTGTTTATAATTCTTCCCCTTGAAAATAAATAAAAGTTTTTAAGAAGTCAGTTATATCAGGTGAAATGGTATCAGCGCTCACAGTGCAGAATATTTAGGGAGGCTATTTTCGCTCACTGCATGACTCCCATAATTTCACCCAGCCCTAAGCAGTCAAGCTAGGGAAATTCGATTGAGTAGGAGTAGCACAAAGTGCACACAGAGTTGACTTACTTGGTGCACTCCCTGCTCACGCACCTTATCAACATGCCAAAGAGGAAGGGAAGGAGCAGAGCTCTGTGGAGCTCTATGGGGATTCTTCTACATGCAGCTGTAGCTGCACCTACATAGGAAAAGATTGTATACAGAGGTTTTAACATCTCCAACACAAGCAGAGTAACCAAAAGAGTACTCTGCATACAGTGGAGTTATTGAGAGCTGTGCTAGGAACGCAATAACAGCAACCCAATTTCTACTGTGTCGTATAATTAATTAACAGTTCTCATGGGCAAGCAGGCTCGCACATTAGAATTCAGGAGGCATTTCCAAAACCATCTTATTCAAACTGTGCTGTCTCTGAATGTCTTTGCTCAAAGGGGGGAAAAATAAATTTAAAAACCCCTCTCTGCTTTTTTTTTTTAAATCACTAACAGGTTCCTGCCTAGTCAGTGGCTGAGAAGTAAAACAATTTATTCACACTGTCTGAGTATCCTGCAGCAGCAGACCTTCTTAGAAAGAGTCCATTGTTTATTACTGCTCTTTCAGTATAACCCAGAATAAGAATAATAAAAGATTGGTCTTATTGCCTTTTTTTTTATGTAGCTTTGTACCAAATGTAAGGAGCATGTGTCTTCACCTCAAAGAGCCTAGCTTCTATGGAAAAATTGTAATCTGGATGGATAGATTGGATGCCGGTGGTGCTGTGGTCTAAACCACTGAGCCTATTGGGCTTGCTGATTGGAGAGTCGGCAGTTAGAATCCATGCAGTGGGGTGAGCTCCCATTACTCTGACCCAAAATGGATTAATCCGTTCCAGACTTTTAAAAACAACCCCTAAAACAGCAATTTAACATGAAATTTTACTATCTAACGAGATCATTGAGCCATAAAATGAAAGCAATGAACAATGTACTTCAGTCACACAATCAGTAGCTGAACTGGGTTTCACACAGTCACACACACAAAAAAGATCCGCAAAAACAAAAACGCAAAATAAATAACAAAAACATACAGACCTCAAAACGGAAGTGTGGCACTCAAATTGTCAGCATAACACTCAAAATGGAGCATATTCAGCTTCTGAAGAAAGTTCACAAACTGGAACACTTACGGTGTTTGCGGTGTTTGGGTTCCAAGTTGTTTGAGTACCAAGGCGATT